ACATCTTTACTGTCAAACAAGAGAGACTAGAAATGTATGAAAAAGGATCCAATAATACAAGAATGTGTGCTGATTGAGGACACTGTACATGTAGTGTTTGCAAGACTTTCAGGCAACGCAGGTGACTTCACCTCTAACCCTGCCAGTGAATAATTTACAACAAAGGGTGCCAAATAATTTGCCAAGTCTGTAAATATGAAAGACTTCAGATGACCAGAAGACTAGAAAGATTCACCAAGGATTTCACAGATATTAGACTTGAAGAGAACCTTTCAAAACAGACTAAGGCTTACATATGCAAATAATTCATTTATGACCTAAAAGTAGTAACTTGACATCTTATAAATATTTGGGAACAGTTGGGAGTGGGGTGAGTGGTTCAAAAATGACTGGGAAGGAATCACTGAAGAGCACTCTTGAAAAAATAAGAGCTCGGAATTCCATAAACTCGAATCATATCTTCTACTTAGAGGACTTAAACCATATTCCTAACATTTTCCAGAATATCTTATTAAACGAGTTTATTTTTCCTCATTGGTTAAAAACAAATGCCATACTAATAAAAGGGGAAATAGACCAAAAGGAAATAATAATCATCAACCTGTATGTACCCAATGTCAATGCACCCAATTTCATCAAACATACCCTGAAAGACCTAAAAGCATATATTAACGCCAACACAGTGGTGATGGGAGACTTTAACACCCCCTTATCATCAACAGATAGGTCATCCAAACAAAAAATCAATAAAGAAATCCTAGATCTAAAATATACAATAGATCAAATGGACCTAGTTGATGTCTACAGAACATTTCATCCAACTTCTACACAATATACATTCTTCTCAGCAGCCCATGGAACCGTTCTCCAAAATAGATCATATCCTAGGGCACAAAGCAAGCCTTAGCAAATATAAGAAAATAGAAATTACACCATGCATACTATCTGATCACAATGCAGTAAAAGTAGAACTCAACACAAAAAACATGCAAACAGCTGGAAACTAAATAACTCATTACTTAATGAACAATGGATCATCGGTGAAATAAAAGAGGAAATTAAAAAGTTCCTGGAAGTCAATGAAAATGAAAACACAACCTACCGGAACCTATGGGACACAGCTAAGGCAGTCTGAGAGGAAAGGTTATAGCCATGAGTGCATATATTGAAAAAAAATGAAAGATCCCAAATCAATGACCTAATGATACATCTCAAACTCCTAGAAAAACAAGAACAAGCAAATCCCAAAACAAATAGGAGAGAAATAATAAAAATAAGAGCTGAAATCAATGAAATAGAAACCAAAAAACCATTCAAAGAATTAATGAAACAAAAAGTTGGTTCTTTGAAAGAATAAACAAGATCGATAGACCCCTGGCAAACCTGACTAAAATGAAGAGAGAAAAAACCCAAATTAGTAGAATCAGGAATGCAAAAGGTGAGATAACAACAAACACCATGGAAGTCCAGGAAATCATCAGAGACTACTTCGAGAACCTATATTCAAATAAACTTGAAAATCTTAAAGAAATGGACAGATTTCTAGATATATATGATCATCCAAAACTGAACCAAGAGGAAATTAATCACCTGAATAGATCTATAACACAAAATGAAATTGAAGCAGCAATCAAGAGTCTCCCCAAAAAGAAAAGTCCAGCACCTAATGGATTCTCTGCTGAATTCTATCAGACCTTTAAAGAAGAACTGATACCAACCCTCCTTAAACTGTTCCATGAAATAGAAAGGGAAGGAAAACTGCCAAACATTTTATGAGCCAGTATTACACTCATCCCAAAACCAGGCAAAGACACCTCCAAAAAGGAGAACTATAGGCCAATCTCCTTAATGAACATTGACGCAAAAATCCTCAACAAAATAATGGCTAACCCAATTCAACAACACATCAAAAAGATTATTCACCACAACCAAGTAGGCTTCATCCCAGGGATGCAGGGGTGGTTCAACATACGAAAATCAATAAACATAATAAACCACATTAACAGAAGCAAAGACAAAAACCACTTGATCATCTCAATAGATGCAGAAAAAGCCTTTGATAAGATCCAACACCATTTCATGATAAAAGCTCTAAGAAAACTAGGAATAGAAGGAAAGTTCCTCAACATTATAAAAGCTATATATGACAAACCTACAGCCAGCATTATACTTAACAGAGAAAAACTGAAACCATTCCCTCTAAAATCAGGAACCAGACAAGGATGCCCACTATCTCCACTCCTATTCAACATAGTACTGGAATTCCTAGCCAGAGCAATTAGGCAAGAAGAAGGAATAAAAGGAATACAAATAGGTAAAGAAACTGTCAAAATATCCCTATTTGCAGATGACATGATCCTATACCTTAAAGACCCAAAAAACTCTACTCAGAAGCTTCTAGACATCATCAATAGCTATAGCAAGGTAGCAGGATATAAAATCAACATAGAAAAATCATTAGCATTTCTATACACTAACAATGAGCAAACTGAAAAAGAATGTATGAAAACAATTCCATTTACAATAGCCTCAAAAAAAAATCAAATACCTAGGTGTAAACCTAACAAAAGATGTGAATGACCTCTACAGGAAAACTATACACTTCTGAAGAAAGAGATTGAGGAAGACTATAGAAAGTGGAGAGATCTCCCATGCTCATGGATTGGTAGAATCAACATAGTAAAAATGTCTATACTCCCCAAAGTAATCTACATGTTTAATGCAATTCCCATCAAAATTCCAATGACATTCATTAAAGAGATTGAAAAATCTACCATGAAATTTATATGGAAACACAAGAGGCCACGAATAGCCAAGGCAATACTCAGTCAAAAGAACAATGCAGGAGGTATCACAATACCTGACTTCAAACTATATTACAAAGCAATAACAATAAAAACAGCATGGTACTGGCACAAAAACAGACATGAAGACCAGTGGAACAGAATAGAGGACCCAGATATGAAGCCACACAACTATAACCAACTTGTCTTTGACAAAGGAGCTAAAAATACACGATGGAGAAATAGCAGCCTCTTCAACAAAAACTGCTGGGAAAACTGGTTAGCAGTCTGCAAAAAACTGAAACTAGATCCATGTATATCACCCTATACCAATATTAACTCAAAATGGATCAAGGATCTTAATATCAGACCCAAACTCTAAAGTTGATACAGGAAAGAGTAGGAAATACTCTGGAGTTAGTAGGTATAGGTAAAACTTTCTCAACGAAACCCCAACAGCACAGCAACTAAGAGATAGCATAGATAAATGGGACCTCATAAAACTAAAAAGCTTCTGTTCATCAAAAGAAGTAGTCTCTAAACTGAAAAGAACACCCACAGAATGGGAGAAAATATTTGCCAGCTACACATCAGACAAAGGACTGATAACCAGAATATATAGGGAACTTAAAAAACTAAATTCTCCCAAAACTAATGAACCAATAAAGAAATGGGCAAGTGAACTAAACAGAACTTTCTCAAAAGAAGAAATTCAAATGGCCAAAAAACACATGAAAAAATGCTCACCATCTCTAGCAATAAAGGAAATGCAAATTAAAACCACACTAAGATTCCACCTCACCCCTGTTAGAATAGCCTTCATTAGCAACACCACCAACAACAGGTGTTGGCGAGGATGTGAAGGAAAAAGGAGCCCTCTTACACTGTTGGTGGGAATGTAAACTAGTACAACCACTCTGAAAAAGAATTTGGCGGCTACTTATAAAGCTAAACATGATCTACCATTTGATCCAGTAATACCACTCTTGGAGATATACCCAAAAGACTGTGACACATGTTACTCCAGAGGCACCTGCACACCCATGTTTATTGCGGCACTATTCACAATAGCCAAGTTATGGAAACAGCCAAGATGCCCCACCTCTGACAAATGGATTAAGAAAATGTGGTATCTATACACAATGGAATTTTATGAGCCATGAAGAAGAACGAAATGTTATTCTCTGGTAAATGGATGGAATTGGAGAACATCATTCTGAGTGAGGTTAGCCTGGCCCTAAAGACCAAAAATCGTATGTTCTCCCTCATATGTGGACATTAGATCAAGGGCAAACACAACAAGGGGATTGGACTTTGAGCACATGATAAAAGCGAGAGCACACAAGGGAGGGGTGAGGATAGGTAAGACACCTAAAAAACTAGCTGGCATTTGTTGCCCTTAATGCAGAGAAACTAAAGCAGATACCTTAAAGCAACTGAGGCCAATAGGAAAAGGGGAACAGGTACTAGAGAAAAGGTGAGATCAAAAAGAATTAACCTAGAAGGTAACAGACATGCACAGGAAATCAATGTGAGTCAACTCCCTGTATAGCTATCCTTATCTCAACCAGCAAAAACCCTTGTTCCTTCCTATTATTGCTTATACTCTCTCTACAACAAAATTAGAGATAAGGGCAAAATAGTTTCTGTGGGGTATTGAGGGGGTGGAGGGTAGAGGGAGGGGGCGGAGTGGGTGGTAAGGGAGGGGGTGGGGGCAGGAGGGAGAAATGACCCAAGCCTCGGATGCACATATGAATAATAAAACAAAACAAAACAAAATATAAAAAAATAAATGCCATTAGGCACATATGGAATATGGTGACAGAGATTTCCTTTCCCTGCTTCAGAATTGCTGATTTAAAAACATCCCAAACAGATGGCTGCACTCTGGCTTCCCTCTCCCTTGTTACATCTTCATTTCAGACTAACAACAACAAAAAAGCACTACTTATACGTCCAGAAACGGTGAAGAGGTTAGAAAACACTTGCTACCATTTCTTTACTTTTAGGACAAATATACTGAACTTTTTTTTTTTTTGACAAACTAAACCACCCACTCAAAGTGAACCATCTGACACTGCGTGGAAGACCCGAGAGCTCGCTCCTCCGCCCCGCAGTGCTCTGACGGTGCTGCCCACAGCCAGTGACAGCAGAGCGCGCCACGCGCCACGGGAGTCGTAGGCCGCGGGGATTGTGGGAAATGTAGTCTGGAGACTCCGCCCTCCCCGCCATTCCTGTAATGGCTGCTTCCTGGAAGGTAATGTACGAACTCGGCTCCAGAGGATCGTCGGTTGCCTCAGTGCTTTTATAAAATGGAATAAGTTTGTATCTTGCCTGACCAAAGGATGGATTCTTTTATAATTTGTTGTCAAGTTTGGGGATGAACTTGATCCTCGATTAGGTTTATTTTAGCTTTTTCTGTGTGGGAGAACTAACTTTAAATCTAGTTCCCTCTTTGGCCAACTATTTACTCGTTTCCCATTCCGCTCCCTTCCTTCCAGTCTCCCGCGCTTCACCGACTAGCCTCCTCTTTAAAATAGTAATAATTAATTTTTAAATTATTCTCACCCTAATAGGCGGTGTCACGTGTAACGCTTTAGCCTCAGCGTCCGGAGCTCCAGAAGGGGAGTATCTCAAGCCCATAGAATTTTTTACATCTCACTTCTTTGGTAAGTCTTAATTCCTCACACCCTCGCAATTGCAGGTTAAGTGACTTTAGCCAGTTTTTTCTGCATTTCCCAGATGAGAGAATAATTTTTACTCGCTAGAATATTTTAAGTTTCCGAGTGTCTTCTGTGTTTTTTGTTGTTGTTCAGTTATGTACTGCTTTCTGTTTATTAGATGCACATTGGGTTGACATTACTGTGGACGAATTGCTGAGGCGAGGGTGTTGTCATGAGATTAGCTTAAGTACCTTTTACTTCCCTTAGTTTTTCATATGCAGAATAGAATGGTTCTGAAATGACTTATGAACTCTAACAGACTGGGTGGATTGTTATCTGGGGTGTATTTATGTTATCATTTGAAAAAGTAGGAATTAAAAGAAAAAGACTGAGTGGATTGTTACTTGTGTATTAATATCATTTCAAAAGGTAGGAATTTAATGGTTTCTCCTTGTTTCCATGTTTGATTTCTAGGAACCTTCAAGTTCTCAAGATTCCAACATCATGACGTCAGTTTCAGCACAGTTGCTGTTAGTCCTCCTGTCACTGCTTTTGGTTGTGCCTGTTGTGGAAGCAGTAGAGGCTGGAGATGCAATTGCTCTCTTGCTAGGGGTGGTTCTCAGCATTACAGGCATTTGTGCTTGCTTGGGGGTGTATGCACGAAAAAGAAATGGACAGATGTGACTTTGAAGGGCTCTTCTGAATCAAACTTCACTCTTATACCTTGAAAACCATTGTGCTTTTGAGCACGAAAGTTCTATAAAGTTCCTGACAAACAGTAAATAGGAAGGATTCACTTCTTAGTTGTTTCCTATGAAATGAGAACAAAGAGATATGTTAAATGGAAAAAAAATGCCTCCTTTACAACAAATCAGTGCACTGAAAAATGCAGCCTATAATTTGTATATACTGCTTAGGAAGCAGACCAAAGAAGTAAGATGACTTAAATTTGCATAAGTAATATTTCATTGTTTCAGAATTCTCAAAGCACGTGAAATAAGATTTTGCCCAGAATCGAGCAAATCACCACTATTCAGTTTTAATCACTGCCTCCTTGGTCATTGAGGAGTCCTTTTTTCTGTGTTTTTATTAGATTTTTGTTTTAATATTGTACTTAGTTAATATTGTACTTGCATATCAAATAGCCAAAAATGGAATCTTTTACTTCTGGGGGAAAAAGTTTAGAAAAAATGTACTCAATATGTCAAGACTGAAATGAAGAAAAGATTTAATGTTAAAAAAAAAAAAACTTTATACTGACTATGAAAGGGGAAAAAGGTTTAATGTAAAAAAAAATTTATATTAATTAACATCTCCATGGTGAGAAATACTACATTAAACTCATTATATTGTAGTTTGTGTGTCATGTCAATTTCTGTTTATTTTGGGCTATTTTTATCTTATGTGTGGACTTTTATATAGGCCAAGTGGAGAAGGGCAGCTTATCATACCTTAACTGATCACTACTTGAAAGAGATACAATCAGTGAGAAATGGGTAGCATTGACATAGAAGATGTCCCTGCTAGAAAATCTACAGATGCAGAAGGAAAATGTAATGGCCTGTGCTGATGTGCATACCAGCCAAATGAGGCATACCTTCTGTGACCTGCCTGCTTAAAGGGCCCTCAAACCAGCAACATTACCCAGGAATTTGTCAGAAATGCACACTCTCCTGCTCCACTCAGATAATTGAAGCAGAATCTGTATATGTTTCAAGAGCCCAAGACAATTTGTATGTCATTGTAGATTTAAGAAGACTGATGTGAATTACTAGAATGCAAGAATAATGCCAGGCTTTTGACAAGACTTTTAAGTTTTCAGGTCCTGCTTCTGAATGTATAGGTGGGGTGAAGCCTGGAACTGTATGTTTTGACAAGAGTCTTCAGTGATTCATTTGATCCTGAAGACAGAGCCATCATAAAATTTCCTGAGCAAATCAAGCTGATGTGTAGTTTCACTAGAAGTAAGTAGTCAAGTTTTTTGCAAGAATGAATCATCTAATCTTTGGCTCTTCTAATGACATTAGAAGCCTTGATTTCCATCAGGAAGCAGTCAGTAGCAACTAAAGTTTGTATACAGTGCATTTCTCCAAATGAGCTGACCTGGCTTGCCTGAGAGATTTGTTAAAGGATAAAAGTAGTGATGGATAGCCACATTAGACAGACATGGAAACTGGGTTGGCTTTTATCATGGCTGTTTTGTCTTTTCACCAGAGAAAGCAGTAACATTTTTTATTCAGGTAAATTGAAAGAAGGAGAAAGGAATGATAGAGGTTTTGGACAGTTGTGATCTCTTATACCAGTCTATTGGTACTGATTTAGAGAGCCTGCTGCTAACTTCTTGCAGGTTTGTACTTTTCCATTGGAATGAAAGAAACCAAATCTAAAGTGCATTTTAAATCATAGTAGGGCTGGTGGAGTGGATCAAGTGGTACAGCACCTGCCTAGCAAGTGTGGGGCGCTAGTTCAAACCCGAGTACTGTCAAAAAATAAGTAAATAGCAGAATTAAAGCACAGTCACTCCATATACTATTTTTTAAATATTTGAAATAAGACATCAGGCAAACATTTTTTATTGAACATTTATTTCCAGAAGTGCCTAGGAAGAATTAGAAAACTATTTTCCCCACTTAAAAGCAGAGTACTCCCTTGAGGTGGCATGCAGGAATGTCTAATGGATATGATGGGGAACCTGACTTTTAAAAATAACCTTATTTTTCATCTATGTTAGATTATGTACATTTGCCCAAAAAGAACAGAAACCATTATGATAACTCTTGATCTATTTTAGGCCACCAGCTCCTTTGAGAATCTGATGAAAGCTGTTTTCATTTTCCCTAGAAAAAAATGCCCGTGCATACTAACTTTTTTGGAGTAATTTAGAGAGCTCAGAGTTGAAGTACGTGGAGGAATCCCAAATTACAAATTTCTATTCTTGTTTGGTTTTTTTTTTTAAAGATTCTTTCCAATTCTAGAAATCCTTGATTCGATTTGCTTTTTCTATGGAACAGGTAAAGCAAGAATGGGTTTGACAAATGTCGCCCAGATGCACACCACAATGTGTAGATGTGCAGTAAATGCTCCGTGTTAGCTCAGTTCAGCTAAAAAAGGCAGAAAACTGAGTTAAAATCAATAAGAATTTAAGATCCTTGCCTATATATATATATATATTCCTATAACTGGTGACTTACCTGTTCACCTAATGCCAAAAATGCATTTCTGTCTAACTGCTGTCATGACTCTTGTTTGTCCTTAGTTTTCAGATGTTGCACTATTATATATTTTGGCTTAGGTGTCTGGATTTGTCCTAATTGAGGTTTGCTCAATTTCTTGAATTTATAGGTTATTTTCTTTTCTCAAATTTAGGAAAACTGCAGCCATTATTTCTTCACATACTCTCTCAGCCTAACCCTCTCTTTTCCTTCTATGACTCCAGTGACCCAATCTCTTGTTACAGTCCCATGCATTCCTAAGACTTACTTTTATTTTTCCAGTCTTTTTGCTCAGTTGTTTCAGAGGATAGTCTTCTATTCTCAGATTCACTAATTTTACTATTATATTTCTTGATTCAAAATTTATCATTTGGTTTTTCTTAGTATCTTCTGTTTCTTTGTTCTATGTTTTCATTTGTTTCAACCATGTTAGTAATTGGAGCATCTTTCCAATAATTGCTTCAAAATCCATGTCAGATAATTTTGACATTGGTGTCACTTTAGTGTTAAGCATTTAATGTGTTCAACCATAGGTCTTTCCTGAGTAATAAAACAGAAACATAGCAGTTAACTGCTCAGATCATTTATGGATATGCAGGAGATTTGGTTTTGCCTGTTCAGGAGAAGAGCATGTTTGGTCCATAGTTTGCCAGGAAAAAAATACTCTGACTCATTAAAAGTCATAAAGATATAAGAAACACAAATCTTTTTTTTTTTTTTTTTTTTGGCGGGACTGGAACTTGAAATCAGAGCTTCTTGCTTGTAAAGTAGGCACTCTACCACTTGAGCCACAACTCTACTTTGTTTTGCTCCATTTATTTTGGAGATGGGGGGAGGTCTAACAAATTATTTGCTGGGGTTGGTATTGAACCTCAATTCTTCCCACCTCTTCATCTTCTAGCTACTTCCTCTCAAGCAGCTAGGATTACAGTTGTGAGTCACAGGTGCCCAGCACAAATCTTTTTCTTTTTTTTTAAACAGTACTGGAGTTTGAACTCAGGGACTCATGCTTGCTAGGTAGGCACTCTACCACTTGAGCCACTCAGCCAGCCCTTTTTTTGTGTGTTTTGGGTATTTTTGAGATAGGGTCTTGCACCATAATTCTCCTGTCTCTGCCTCCTGAGTAGCTAGAATTATAGACATGAGCCACCAGTGTCTGGCTACAAATCTTATTTAATGTTTGTTTCCTGTAGTAGAGAGTGGAAAAGAAGCTCCTGTTTTTGATTGACTAATCCCAGGCATGATTTTTGCACTTGACTAAAAACAGTAGCAAACCAAATGTTTGCAGAATAGCATATTTAAATATATTTTTAAATTTTTTATCACAGTTTCCTGTGGTTAAATTAATATACATGTACCATCTAAGTGCAAAAGCCAAAGGCCAGAAAAATATGTGGTTGATACAAAAATACAGAAGTGTGGTTTAATTTCTCATTTATAGTACCAGAGCTACAGTACTCCTCATTTTTACTGAATCTATTATGAATTTTGAAAATATGAGTTGATACTTCATAATCTGAAATGAAATTATGAAATTTTATATACAAGAGGGTTAATTATTTGTAAAGTGCTAATCATGGAGCACTTTGTTAAACACTGGGATTATAAATACCATATTTCTCAATCAAGATAATTATGCCCTGGATAAATGTGCATAAATCACTTAACAAAAGAACTTAGGAGCAGGCATGATCACCAAGAACCAAAACTACCCTATATTTTATTTCAGATCATTTGTCAAAACAACCCTTTCATTTTGTTACAAAAATTGCCAGGTCATTTGATACCAACATAAAACAATTTTATGAGTCCTGGGGTGATGCATGCTTTCACTTGTTTTATCGATATTTTGCAGGTCATCACCAATACTCTTTAGGAAGAAAAAAATGATTAGGCACTATCAGCCAATTGACCTTGAGCCAATAATTTAATCTCCATGATTTGTTTTCATCTGTAAAATTTTGTCAGTAGTCTCCAAAAGACTTCCTAGTGATAGAATTCTGTGGCTTCATAAAGATTTTCCTAATATCAAAAAAAAAAATAAGGTCTAATATGTTAAAAAATATTGCAATTATCCGTTTTCACTCAGAAGTTATGAGGAGCTGATTTCATCTTCAAACTCCACTGAATACTAGTCTAGTCATTTGGTGTATTTTGGATTTCAATTCAGTGAAGTAGAGGTAGCTCATTTTCTGTGCTGAACAAATACGATTAGCAATTGTGTCAAGTCAGAATAAACACAAAGTGTAGCCCTGCCACTCCCACTCACAGAAAACAGCCCATATGTTAACTGATATAGGCCAGGCAGTATCGAGGAACAAGTAACCTTGTAGTACTTATGTTCAATCTGTTATGGCACTGCAAGAGAGACTCAGCTAACAGAATCCATCTTCCCAGTTGCCAAGACACAAGACACTTGATAGGACGTGTGGCACATTTCCCTCTGTCACACTCACACTCCACACCCAATCTCTCTCTAAATCTTACAGAATTCACTTCCAAACCATCCCGAGGATTCAGTCATTTTCATCCCCAAGACTCCTATCTAGTTCAGACCATTGATGATGTAATAAGATCCTCAGCAGCCCCAGCTTGTTCCCATCTTTCCCCTCTGCAATCTTTTTCTAAACACAACCATAGTGAACTTTTCTTTTAAGAAATGGCGTTTCACTATGCTGTCTACGCTAGCATGGAACTCCTTGCCTCAACCAATCCTGCCGAGGTCTTCCCAGTAACTAGGACTATAGGAGAGTGGGACGCCATTGCCCTGGCCATGATTAAATTCTTCAAACACAGATCTGATCCTACTATATCCCAGCTCAAAGCCCTTTATCTGATTTTCTGTTTTTATGAATTCCTTAAGTCTTAAGAAGAAATCACCATATGATCTACCCTTATTTCTCCAGGCTTGTCTTTGTCCACGACCCCTAACCTACCTTGCATTGAACCTTTTCCACTTCCTAGGATGACACCAGCATCTGTCTTCTTCTTCTTTTCCCCTTAACCTCCCCACTTGTTTCTGAGTAAGATGTTAGCATGCTCACCTGGCCATAGTTTTTTATTCCTCCTTATCTACCAACCT